CTAATCTCTCCATTAGCGCTAATACTTCTACTACTATGGGATTTGAATTGACAATTCCATCTCTGTACCAATGTGGTATGGCAACTTGGACTGACGTACGTACGTACGTACGAAGTTCTACGTTGTAGCTGACTGACTGAAAATGAGCAAAGAACATTAGTATCAATCGACAAGATCACTAGCGAAACATAAAATAATAACGATAGGTTAATACTTACCAGCAGATCTTTAATTGGAGCATTACTAACAAGCATAGCTCTTAGTAAATCACGTGATTGACCTGCTAGCAATCTCAATTCACTTAAACCTCCTCGACTAGGTCCTATTTCAGTCCATTCTGTTCCAGTTATATCAAGCGGAGTACATATGATTAAAGCGGGTAAATTACATCGAGGTGTACGATGAAATGAATCCAAAGCTTGTTGACGTTTATTGATATCCACTTCAAAAAAAAAACAATCAAAAAATGTTACACATATTTTTTCTTTAAAATAATACAAACTCAGTGAAAAAAACAACTCCTAAAATGAGGGATAAAATCGATGACAAAATTTTACACCATATGAATTATGTTATAATTAATAATTATATGGAAGAAAGATTTCCAGAAGAATACATATGAATCCATATGATTACAGTATCGATTGAAAGTCACTTGTTTTTCAAAAGTATTAACTATTCACTACTAAACTATGATGAATGAACAAAAGACAAGAAGTGTGAGAAGTATAACAATATCAACTTTGGAAATGATAAACTATTGCCATCTTGGTATTAGAGACTTCACTGATAAAACTAAAGCAACCCATTAAGTCTCTCAAAAAAAAATACAAAAATGTTCCAGCTACAAAAATTCAATAATGAAAATAGAGAATTGTTGCTCCATTAACACAGGTATTACAAGGTAATCAAATTCAAATTACGTAGTAAGTAGTCAAATGGTAGTAAGGACAAAATAAAATACATAGACAATATAGTCGATGTTAGTAAATGATATCATCGAGAGAAAAAAAACTGTTTTTTTTCTTCTCTGAAACACCTACCCTTGAATTCAATAAACCACGAAAAATGGACTGTTTATTCGTAACACCTACATCGAACATATAATTTCCAGTTCTAATTGACTAATGTTAACTTTAAGACTGACTAAATAATATTTAAAAAACTGACAAACTATAACTAACTTTGAAGATAAGTGACTTAGAATGAGATCTGGCTGAGGTTGGAAAACAGACAACTGAAGGATAATGCAGAAGTCCGACAACAGACACGTAAGTCCATTCCGTGATATCCTAAGATTATAACAATGCAAAATGATGACGCTTAAATTGGGGTCAATTTACGTCACAGTGATATAAACGTTCGATTATCAGTTTAAACACCACATACCATCATCGGAACACCAGACTTGTATTACAAACCATGGAAAAACATTTTGTATCATATCTACTGGAGAACCTTTGATATCAGAAATCCATGAAGTCATTGACTAGTGGACTGAGCCATGTCGGTAATTGTCGACTACCTGGTTGGGGTCCGCAAGATGATAATAATCGATGGTTAGAGACCTTCAATGACATGGCTCAAAATCGTTCGCAATGGCGCCGGTGCATTTATTCTGTGTTCTCTCAAATCCTAATCTTCTGGATTCTTTAACACCTCTAGTCTCGACTCTCTTAATTTATCTCACTGAATCATACTTCTTGAATAGTATCTTCTAACCCTAACCTCTCTGATTACTTCTAATACCCTTACTACCTCTACTGCTATTGGATTTGAATTGACAATTACTTCTCTGTGCTGATGTGGTATGGCAACATGAACTGATGTACTTATGTACAAAGTTCAACGTTGCATCTGACTGACTGACTGACCTTTGATATGGTTCACTTTGTAAGAACAGTAAACTTCTGACTTAAAATTATTTTCTATGTAAGACAGAGAAACTGTTTGTAAAATTTATGAAACGGCAAGCACCTATTTTTAATCATAGAAAACTAACTACTTTCACACTGCAATCATGAAGATCAGGAATAAAAGCTATATTTTGAATGTAATAAAGACCTACCAGAAAATCCTTCGTTTAAATTAACCAAAAGTGGAACATTTTCCCAATCATGAGTAGCCAACAAATCAAGAAATCGTAGGAATACAGCAACAGGTGATCCAATTGAAGTAAGATTAACTTCATTTGACTCGGAATCCACAGAATCACACAGTTTCGAAGCATAAAGAACTAATAATTCAACAGCTACCTCAGTCATACGTCCATCATTGATGTTGACAGTCATATCTCTTAACCACCAAGTAGATAATGCTGAAGAACATTGTTCAGGTTGTGGAAAAAAATCTGATGAATTATGAAGACCGTCTAGTTCAGATTCATATGGACATAAAATCACTGGATAGCCTTGAGCTGATAACCAACGTTTAGCTAGTCGACATGCTGTAGGAAACACATGTGCATAAGTACGTGAAACACCACTTAGTGTACCAGCCAATGTTGGTAAACTTTGATTTAAACGAATCCAACATGCAGCTTCAGAATTCATTTCAATAGATGATGGATCATTGTCACCAGTCCTCTCTGAAGGTGGTTTATTTTTATGATCTGCTTTGATTTCAGCATTACTTGATTTCTGAATTAAATTCAATTCTTTTGATTGTGAAATAACAACTCTGAATACTAATCCTTGCTAAAAAAAAAGTAGAAAAATTTGTCATGATAAAATTATTACAAAGTCCATGGCATGTTCAAAGTGATCAATATCATTTATGTAGAAATTTATGCATACATCAAATAAAAATTAAGCATAAAAAATATTTCTTATTGATAATAGTTCACATTAGAGAACAATTCGACAGTAAACGAGAACATAATACAATTGAACCAAAAGGTTTGTGTATTAGTGTGATATTCGTTCAATAAAACAGAAATAGCCTACTTGAAATTCGCTTTACTTACTGCAGGTATAGGCTGCTAAACAGTATGGTATAGCTAACTATTACATAGAAATTGTGACTTAGAAATGTTCAGAACCTGTAGCTAGTAAACGTATTACACTAACATGAATTCTTATTACGACAAAGCTTCACGTTATCGATGGTTTAATCGAATAATATCATTTTGTACATTTAATTGCATGTAATTCTATGCATATGAAGCTGTCGAACACCTTCCCCCAATACCCTAGTACGTCCGAGCGTGTGGAGATTCCACTGTCCTGCTTGAGATTCCGTGAGATGACCTCGTGTGTATGCAGCCACTGATAAGGAAGTTTTACTCACTACCTTCTTGCGGTTGGAATGCTATTTACAAAACTGAGGATAAAAAGCAAATGTTAGATGCCTAAACCGGTCCAGAGAATATGGAGGATCTAACTAGGGGAAATCAAAAACCTTGATTTCATATCAGTAGTGTACATGGGCTCCACAATCCTGAGGGAACAAATGACGTGTGGATCTATCGTTTTTGGACAGTTATCATGGGACTGTATCTACTATCGTTGATCCACTGCTTAGTGAATTAGACCTGTAGGTCAAAGACACGAAGTGTCGCCCCCTAAGAAAATTATCTGCTTCAGTTTCAACAGTCTGCTAATAACCCAGCTCGTGCACGAATTCAATAACTAGTGTGACACATTTGGTTTAGTGCTTCTTCATACGAATGTTTATGTGTGTAAATGAACATGAAAGATTCGATAAACATACCTCATAAACTTAGAAGCAACGAGAAAATATGTTCCAGTCACGAAATCATAATAACAGTTTATTTTAATGGAGGTAAATAGAGAAGTGTTAATTCATGACATATTTACTAACCCAGTAAAATAAACTTAAAAAGAGAAAGATAAAGGTGATGAGGAATACAGAAGTTTAGAATTTGAGAAAACACAAAGAATGGATGCACCTGTGCAGAGGTTGTGCGAAAAAGTGGCTGTTTCTGGACTTAACAAAAGTAGGACTTTTGTTGAAGTCTGCAAATAGTTGACTAACTTACAAGCTGAAACACTTACACTATACAACAAGATTCAAGTTCTTTTGATCAATATGATCAACTTTATAATGGCATATATATCAAGATAAGAATTTTCTTAAGTAATTATTTAGATTTTATGCATGGTTCAACAAACTTCAACTTTCAAAGAGCACAGTGCAATGACGCTTTTTTCATTGTAAACAGTGGGTATATTACAGGGCGTATGGTTACTTTTTCTTTATTCCTTCAGTCTTCCAGTAATTTTTATCAGCAATGTTTTAGTAGAAACAAACCTATTTAGATCATTTACTTTACGATGATTTTATCGGTGAAAAAATTTCTATACTACAATACACTTTACTTACTAAATATACATCCAGCATATTGTCGACGGTAACATGAGATGGAATTCCTTTAGGTGATAACAATTCATGCATACGAATCACTAGCAGTCGTTTCATATGTCTAAACGCATCTAAATCATTTGGCCATCTTCCAGATTGTTCCAAGTGAATTATAACTTAGAAACACAAAAATAAAAATTTTATTGATTCCGGATTTCATTGAGTAGTAATGGATAATAACACAACTCAATAAGTTATAAATTATGTTTATTACATAATACCTGAAAAGCTGAAGTAGGAAGAGTTGGGCTCAAACTTACTGAACGGAAATTGTTCTTAAACAGTTGATTTAGCCACAACATCTGGTTACTGAGGCTCTACAGGCAGCCCTAACTAGAAGAAAAATGTACGGCTGATGTTGATACTTTAAATATTACAGTGGAAAACAAAGATTTGATCATGATATAGTTAAAGTTATGTTTTGACTAAGCGTACTCAAAAATGGTAAGGAAAATAACAACGCAAGTACCCTAAATCAGTTAAAACTAAGTGGGAAGTAGTTGTATGAAGCTTAAAATACATGGAGCAAATGAATTTGACGTCAAAACTAGTTATTTACTAATAAGTGCCAATCCCTCATTTCAGAGAAAATTTTAAATGATTGATTACAGCACAACTGTGTTTTATATCAGAAACCAGGAAACAGGGTGACTATGAGATCGGTCCAGTTGAGTGGACACAATCGTAATGACAAACACAAATCAATATGTAAGGATTTCCTTCGTATGCGAAGAAACTAGCCATGAACAGAGATAAATAGTTTAACAAAGCAATAAACGTCCTAAATAAGCATTTTTATGATCACTCTTAGGAAATATCCACAAATGTGTTGGTAATTAACCGAAGACTTATCGGTAGAATCTTCACTAAAAACAAAATGAAAGCATTTCAGTTTTTCCGCTCATATAATATGAGCTACTGAAGCAACCATCAAAAGCTAGGTGTGGTGTTCAAAACTTCAGTTACCACACTCCACAACCGTTTATACGTTGTTTACATATTTTGCATATATAGAAACAAGTATTTTGCTTTAGCTAAAAATTGTTATCCATTGATTTTACCTTCTATATCCTATTAGTTTACCACTTCCAACAGAAGACACTCGAGGAAGCTATATAGTAGTAAACTATAAACTATTTATGTAAAGTTCAACATACCAATAGTTTCAGTTTATTATTTATATATTTTAAAATTTTCATAATTTCTTACAACCTGTAACTAAACCGGAGGTCATTCGTCACGACCTCACTGAAAACTTATATACTTTCCATAATCAAAAAAGTGGATATAGTAAGTTCGATTGTAAAACTTGAAGTCTATTGGTTTGTACACAACCTATGAAATCCGAATCCAACGATAATCTAAGTTTTAATGATGTTTATTTTGTTATATATTCTTCATTTTAATGTATTTTTTGTTGTTCATATACTGGAAAGTTATTCTGCCTTCTGAAATTCGTCCATCGTGAGCTTGAGTCAATTATTTGGATTAATGGGTAATCATCCTCTAACAACAATCAAATCAAGCGATTATCAACTCCTAAATTTTGTTTGCTATAAAACCGACTAACTAGTCAAAAATTAGATATTGTAATACTCTAACCTGACGACTTACTATCATTGTAAAAAAAGAAACATTGGATATTAAGATTTCCCTTCATTGTCATATAGAATATTATTAACACTTAAGTGGATCAGTATGTAAATACCTGTAACTTTGTCATTTGACCTGTTTTTAGTGAATAAGACAACCCCGCCTGTAGACCCTCCGGGGCTACTGCCGGTCCCAAGCCTAGATAAAGGAGGGTTGGGCTTGAGGACAGCATTGAAGTAAAATATTTCCAATGGATGTATCAATCGCATCAAGGGATATTTTAGGTAGTACGTTTGACTTAATATTTCTAAACGACTTGATCTGATGTCGAATACATAAGGGTTAGAGACGAGCACATTGCTAAGAAGTATCACAAACTTCAGTTGCCACACTAACTTAACTACAAAACTACTTACCATACAGTGGGAACACAGGGGAACACGCATTTTTCAATAACCATCTAACCATTTGGAAGTGTGACTTTGATATCCCATTATACGATTGGTTAGCCATAGGAAAGGATAATACAGGAGGGAAAACTGCTGTGTCACGAAAAGCTGATGATAAAGGCAAAATCCCAGTGATATTAAGCGGGAGTTTTGTATTTAATCCACGTAATAATGCTCGGAGTTTATCCATCGCCCTAACCAAACGAAGAGATGAGGCGGTAACTAAACTGTCTTCGCGACTGCGTTTATGTAAGCTGATAAATGGATCAAGACGATCAGGCAGAATGTGATACCACAGTTTTGAAGACAAATGGAGTTTCCTAGAGTATAATAAATTGACACAATACATAAAATAAGCGAAGGTAATTAAGTAGATAAATACTTAGTTACCAGTAGATGATAACCCGAAATTCTAACCATGATAACACACTTCTTGGACTATTACATTCATTCTATGAATTGGAAGACTTATTAGGTTTGTTACTCCGTTGCCTCAAGCATCCTGATATAGTTTTAAACACAAAATAACATTCGTAAAGATTTGAAATGATTTTGTATAATTAGTCAGTGCTCCAATCCCATTAAAAGCCTGTATGTTATGAACACGTTTTAGAGTTATTAACTACTTCTTCACTAAGCATCGATTAAATTTGAGACTGACTGTTTCTTTTTCAGAAATGAAGAATTATCACAAGAAATGAATCCGATGAGCGTAAAAGTGGGTTTATTATTCCACATGAATATTCAGACTACTCCTAAAATCTAAACACCAGAGCTATTTATTAGCTCCCGTTGTCTTCTTACATAAAATTAACTAATTCAGAGTAATGAGGACAAGGAGTTACAATGAACGACCTAGCATAAAAAGTTGGGTATCTTGTGGCTTCAGTACATTATTCTTGTGAGCGAACTGTTGATTTTTCTTTCGAGACCTCCGGTTAAATGCTTTAGCATTCATCGCAACAGTGACTGACAAGTAGGCATCAAACATTTATAAATACGAAGGCTTGGAAAGCTAGAACATTCCCATTGAATCCCAAATGAAAAATGACCAAGATAACTTTGGTTGATAAGAAAGTAATTTGTAAACGGATTGTTCCCATTTTCATAAAATTTGTGAGATTTTGCAGTAAATCTTAATGATCTAGAGTGAATAATTTCTCAGCTTCAGAAACGAGTTTACAACTTTGGATCGAAAACATTGATAAACCTACTTTTCTAGGACAAAATCGGCGATCTGCATACAGACGTTAGAACCACTGCTCCAGACAACACATTCACATAAATCACCATCAATACGTCGAAGCTCAGACTTCTTGCCCCAAAACCGGCGGAACTCATCACCAGCTGGAGTGTTACTCGGAGGACCTTTGGTTAGGATTGCATGAGTGAGTTGTCCAATGTATTTAAATCCTATGCTATGGAGGTCTCTCTGATATTAAGAAAATGTTTAGAAGTTACCTTGCCGTTTATGCCAACTCTGACCGGACAAACGAGAGACACTCTGTCTTTCAAAGCTTCAGTTAAAAGTTGGCAGATGAAGTTTAGCGTGTTTTCACCTGTTTGGTATCCTGATTCGTGTGTTCGAATCTCATTTTTGAGTATGGAATCAATATGTTCAAGGTTCTGAAAGCTGAAAAATTAGGGGCTGTTAGCGAGTGACGTACATCACCAAATGATCATAAAAATAGACGCAATCCATATTGCTGCAAATATGCACAACACAATTTTTGATACTTTGCTGTATCTAAATGCACGAACGTATAGTAATTAGACAAGAGCATAAAAAGCAATTGCAGATAATATGTAAATTGGGGAACAAAATCAACACTCGTTAAACATGTGGATGTATGTGGTTGAAGGTCACACCGTTTTGAAAGACACCGTCTCCAATATCCAATATCTTTTTAATGAGCTAGTAAAACCAATTGACTTCTTGTTCTCGATTCTTGTTCTTTCGCTACAGTTCCAGGTGTTTCGTAGCGTCCAGTGGATGGGGATCTAGACACTCAACTGTACTAATTCTAGTCATTTGGTAGTTGGTTGGATATTTGTACGTCCCGTGATTTGAATGAAAACGTTTGTTACAGGGTTGTCTTTTGTTATATCGGTATGGTTGCAGATGCTCGTTATTTTTAGTGAGTGATCGTCTAGCCACTTAAATTAAATCATTCCAGTCATTTGTGTAGTTACTTATGAGTCTCTATGTCTTGTATTTCAAATGAGTGTGTTTGTCTTAAGGCAATACGTTTTCTGGATAACGCCATTTACCACAGTCCCAGACCACAAATCACTTGGTAATGTAAGGTGATAAAAAGTGAATTCTAATAGTAACGATAAACTGATAATTCCAAGAACTAAGTTAACTGGTTAATTGGTAATGAAGATAGTGTGAGACGAAAAAAATGATAATAAAGCAGAGACAGCAAGCAAACGATATGTGATATATGACACCCTACAAGGTGTGCGACATGCATGAGACACATCTGGTCTAGACCAACGATAATGATCCCAACATTAGTGCGTACATGTCCAAATTCTTCTTGAAGCTAACCAATGAAGGAGCAGTAATCACTTAGGCTGAGGGAGCACTTAATGTGGGACAACTTTGATTAAGAATACGTACGGGGTATGCATATGTTTCCGTTCTTTGGTATGTGGATTTTCCGGATAACATAAAAATGTGGAGTAATTTTCTCCATGTATAACTGGCACCAAATAATTTCGTTGCTATTGGTTCCGACCATGGTTTTGACCCCAGTACATCTGTTATGATCGCAGTACTATAATTTCCAGTCCTCAGAATAAATCTGACTTCCTTTAGTACCCAACAGAATCTTGAGCCAGACATTTGTTAATTTATGGGAGTACAAAACATGTTACTCATCCTTACTGCTACCTTAAAAATCTCCATCTTTCTAGCTCTTCCTTTCATAAATCAGCGTCACTGATTCAAACTTTCTGCCTAGGTGAAAATGAGACGCAGCCATTTTTATACTTTGCATTACGAATGGTACAGTGGCTTTTTTTTTACTGAAAACACACAATAGTGTTGTAAGCGTAACTTACTCTAACCAATTACATCGATTTTTCAGAAACACTTAATATGTCTGCAGTATTCTGAGAAATCTGGTGAGGTCATCGGGATCCCTAAAAAGATCAGTTGTTAAATGACAAACTAACAACAAATTTCTGTGATTTTGGTTGGCACAGTTTGTGGATTCACAGCCCATAATAGAACGTTGAAAGTGCCTTACAGAACAGCAGATAGCAGGAAATTTCCTATCAAAAAAGTCTTACCTCTCTTTGGTACTAGGCACTCATCTCGATAATAATGTAATAGTTACCGAATATTATCTTTTCAACGTTGTAAGATTGCACTGAGATGGATGTGTCTGGTTCGAGCTAATGGGTGGCTTGATTTCTTTTATCTATACATTCTCACCATAATTATGCTGAATCCTTTCACTTGTTGTCCATCATAATTAGTTTGCATTCCCATTAGGCTGATTCGTTTACAGATCTTAAAAGAATGATGCTCGGTAAGAAATGTCAGTAAAACTCGCCAATCTAATACAAATTCAGAGATCACGATGCATCCCGGGAATTCCACATTCTTCTCTAGCAAAACCTTCGTCAAACGAATTTAACATTTCAGTTTACAGGGGAACTTACCGCATCATATGTGATTATCTGATCCCCCAAGTAAATTGGCTTGCTCTTGTAACCTACTTTGGAAGTAATAATAATTCATTATTTTTATCACTATTTTCTAATAGACAGCTATCTAAATTGATGTTGTCACGCCTGAGAAATTTCATTGCATTTGTACCAATGCAGAATTAATGGTTGCTTGCAGTTGTAATATATTTTTGTTCATTGTGAAACGGCACGCCTAAAAGTTGGATATGAGTCTCGTTATGTGGTATTTGAACGATGAAGCAATGGTTTCTCTTTTTAGGGAGACGTTTAAAGCTTATTTCAAGAATGATTTACTTCAGCACTCATAGTAGTTTCGATTTCATTTAGGTTGCATCGTTATTGTTATTGACTGGGCACTTATTATTTCAGTCTAACATCGGACATTCTGTTATCCTTTCATTTTCGATAATATGATCAGCTTTCAAAAGGATTTGGTTACAATTCAGTCGTGATGCATGAAATCAGTTGCATCTACAAGGAATTGGTAATATACGCTCGACCTTCAGTGTTTAAGCGGCTTCATGCGGGGCCACTGTAGTGCCCTATAGTAACATGTTTTATGAGAATAAAATATTATCACTATGATTACTAGTGAAAGCCTTCTGACAACCTGAGCAAAAAAGTAATTAGTTAAATAGAGTTTTCTTGTAGTAAGAGAGACCGAGAGGACCATCCAACTAGCTTCTGAAATGAACTGGAAGAAAAGAACTAGAACAGTGATAGATTCACAAGCATATATCTCTTCAACGAAATGGTCGTAAGCGACATCATATTCCCACGCAAACGTACATAAAGTCACAAAGGTTTCTCCATATCACAATTCGGAGTACCAAATGGATCATATCAGCATCAACAGAAAGTTTTGGAGAAACATGGAGGACGTAAGGTCGAAGAGAGGAGCTGACGTGTCCTCACATCGCCAACCATTGGTGGGCAAGGTGAGGGTAGAGCTAAAGAAGCACAGCAAAACTGCATAAATATTACTTAAAAATTCTAATGAGGCGTTTGTTCAGGATGCTGACAAACTCAACGGATTCAAGATAACCCTCAGAAAAAGATGCAGAGCCTTAGAAAATCTTTTAGTGGGACGAGTCTAGGTTGACTATGATCATATATCAGAAAGAGTTGATATCTGTTGAAACTCTAGATAAGAGTCGAGTAAGGAAGGAAACGATGGCACCAACCGGGAAAGATAGAAGAAAGCAAAAACTCGACCTCGATGCAAAAAACAAGCAAACAGGTAAAAAGGATTGTCAGAGGTGATAAGGAAAAATATGTCGCAGTTCCAGGAATAAAAGGAGGGAAAATGAAGGAGGAAAAAATATGCGAAAACTATATTACTATTAATATATTTGTTATCAAATAACAGCATGTAAGGACAAGCATGCCAGTTTACAGGCTAAATCAATTTCTCACAAATGCTATTACATCAACTCCAAAAGGTTGCCTAGTTAGATAAAAAATAAGAGCGTTTCTATAGCACATTTATAACGTGTCACTGACAAGAACAGTTTATTTTTTGGTGAACCTTAATGACCTTAATTGAGTTTGTAGGCCTTATCATTTATGGTTAGCTATTTTAAGTAACATTTGTGTCCAAATGTATCTTTGGTTTTAAGTCACCGAGAGCATTTTGACACGTTCAGTGGTACTGATCTTGCTAATAATAACGCTTATATCCGTTTGAATGTTGAGTAATAAACAAAGTTCAGAGTGTAGATCAGCTGAATATCTAATACTTTATCTATATATGATACCTGTAGGTTATTAATAATCTATCACAGGTGTCTTCGAATAACTTTTTGTGTACTGTGGGACTATCCAATTAGCAACTGTGAGTCTATAAACAGAGTGTTAGTTAAAAATAGCGAACCGATTAACCACATCGATATCGATCATCTGAAATGGTTAGGACATGTATAATCCATGCCCGAATACACCAACTGCCAAGACTCGTGATCAGGTCTAGTGTAGGAATAGGTAGAAAGAGATCTACGCGCGGCCAGATGAAGACCGAGCAAGTCGGTTAAGATGCTGACTACTCCGTTGAAACCCATGCTAGATGTTCAACTGCATTTAATAGACTGCGGCCAGACCAACGAAAAAATGGAAACCACCCACCTAAATAGACTTAATTCCACAGTCATTTCACCAGTAAGCTCAGACGAAAGTAAGCTAACTAGAAAAGACTGAATAATGCTGGCGTTACGGTGAAGTATGTCAAAATCAGCGATGCCTCAGGATGAACTATACTATGACAATACTTGAAAGTTATGTAAAAATATAATTTAAACTGAGGAAAAATATGTAAGCTATTACACCTTACTGCAAATTTAAACTCCTTGTTTGGCTACTATAGTAAAGCAAATTATTTGGTAGTAAAACTTAATGCCTTCGTACTCACTTCAACAAATTTTCCATTATCAACTCTGACAATCCTCTTCACCTGCTTGCTTGTTTTTTGTACCTGAATTGATTTTTTGCATCGATGTTATAGTGTTACCATTAAATGTCAGTGATCCTTTGTAGACAACGACGATTGAACACAGAAGGTCGCTTGATACCTTCGACTTGTAGAGTCCAGAAAGTCACAAACATAGGGCAAAATTGCTCCCACAGATGCATTGTAAACTCGACATTTCAAGGCCAGACTAACATCACGAAGATGCTAAGGATGGCCGAGATTGACGTAGGCCGCTCTGGCTTTGATTATACACGAACTGACCTCATATCTGGAGCGACCACTAGCACATTCGCAGCTACTATGGTACATGTACAAATTCGAACTACCCGCTGACGCCTGAATACAAGCTATTGATCCTGTCAGTCTTGTGACTTCTATCTTGCAGTGTGAAGGTTCAACACTGTTTGTCAACTGAATACTTGTTGGTAGCATGTTATGAGAGTCATCTCACAGTGAGACAAAGCTTCACGTACTCAAACTCATAAACACTTTTTAGTTGGCAGATCCACCTCACTGTGAAATATATCCATCAATGCATTGTAAAGAACGTCATCGATTTTAAGTAAAACGAATATTTAGATTTGAGCAGCCCTTCTTAATCCCACTGCCTGAATGCCACAACTGAGAGAAGTGATTTTATGCCCTCACTCTTTCTGAGGTGTTTGTTTATGTGATCATTAGGATGTTAATGTTCTTCTGGGGCACACCATTCTCAGAGAACAATCCTATTCATCAGACCGAAAGTGGATGTAATATCAAGAAGCCGACCTATTGTTTACCTGAGATGTTCTAATATTTGGCAGAAAGTAAAGATATTATCAATATACTCTCAACTCCAAGACAAACCAGGCTGTTCATTGAGAGTCAATCTCTCGGCTAAGCATGACAAACGCCAATAATTCGGACGTTGTCAGTGATAGATTCAGTTGGTTTCTGCATAGATGATGTGGGTCTTTTTTGAAAATATGGACAACTATAGACTGATTTCAGCATGTTGAGACATTCTTTAATTCTCAAACGGTTGCAGTAACCGATATTGCAACCATCCTTAAAATGGACTGAAGGTAAGTCGTATAAGCCTGATGACTTGTAGTGCTTCATGAGCTCGAGTTCCTTGTGAAATTAGGCTTCAGTTGCCATCGTCCATGAGAGACAGCTCTGTCCGATGAATGTCCTTGGGCAGCAGACTGGCTGAACTGTTCCTTGAGAAATCCGTCCATCATCCAAGACCATCGGCAGGTGTTAATGATTGGCGTCCGATCAGCTTCCCAGAGTGTTTCACCGACACCAGACCTAATGCTGCCAGTTGCTCAGCTGAGTCGGAAGAGCCTCTGGCAATTACCATATGCAATAGCAGTTACTAGCTCTTAAGCATTATTTGACCGTTAGGCTACTCCTCCCTCACAAAAATTGCTCTAATTTATTGCCTTGCGGATTCCTTTTATCATCAAACTCGTGATTCAACGAGCTGTAAGGAGCCTGTAGAAATACAGTGCTTATAGGCAGGCAACAATACTGACCATTTTCATGGCGTTGTGAAATAGCTAGCCTTGAACCTAACTCGGTTCGATAGTTGTTAGCAACAATTTTTACCAATTAACTAATATCACTCCGTTTAGGACGGTTAAAGCGCTAGAAATTCGCTGTTTTTCCTGCCGATTTCGTAAACAACATCTCTATCACAAGTTATTAATGAGAGGGACTTCTCTGGTAGATGCCATATATTATGTTACTGAGTAAAAACATAAGACAGTTCAGGTCACGTCTCCACACTTCTGTATTTGAAGCCGTGTAAGGCCAGTTTATGTTTTTTGCAGTGATTTTGTGATTTCACTGCAACAAAAACTACTTAAATGTGGAGAACCCATAAAATTCAACGGATATCTAAACAACTGGGAAGCATTTTAATAGTTGAATGGCTGCCGCAAGAGCTGTTCAAGGTCATGGAATAGGAACAGTAGACGGCTTTGAAAGCGCCATACGTTTTCATCGTGCCAAACATGAGTTATACGGTGATTGGTAATAACTGGCGTAAAGCGGACTCAGCATTAGTGGTCCCAATGCTTTCGTGATCCTATTAAGCGAGTAAACAAATAATTTGAAATCATTAAGAATTATTTGTTATATTATCTCCCATTTTAATTATTGTCTGAAAAAAAGATCATTTTTATATTTTCCAAAAAGAAACAAATAAAAATAATAATGGCGCAATTTGTTTGTTTTGAAAAAGATAATCTCAAAGTTAATTTAAATTGATAATGAATACAATAGACAATAACCAACAAAATAATAGTTAAGAGAGGGAGTAAATGGAAAACAGGAGATGTGACCGAGAAACTGCATGTATTTACAGGGAAGAAAAAAAAGTGAAGATCTAAGGGAAATATAAACTATGGACTTTTCTACAAAATCCACTCACCACATTATATCATAAAATAATATATTATCAGCTTAATCTATATCGATTCAAAGTCATTGTTATTTTGTTTAAATCAATAAAGCACAGATTGAAAATTGTGAGAAAAGTGTTGGCAGCTTTTTGAAAAAAAGCTAAATTGCCGGGTGGGTTATTTGAAACTTTACAAAAGGATATAATACTTGAAACGCAGTCGAAAAAAACAAACATATAAGCATGGGGGAAGTTATTTAGTCTAGAGAAAATAAAATACAAATAATCAAATGTACTGAGTTAGTAGTAGTATTGTTTAGAAGAGGGAAAAATTCATGAACGAAGAAAAAAAAATACAATGGTAAATGATAAACAATCAGGATTTTCTTTGTTGAAAATGAATGTAGGCCTGTGCTTAAACTGTATGCGCAAACATAAACGTCAATAAATACATAGATCATCTATAATTATGAACAGTTGATTTCGCATAATAATATTTAGTGATAAAAACATGTTGTTTTAATTGTATGTTGTTTGTTTGACTCATTCTTTGTTATGTTGAATTAAATGTATATCAGGATTTAAACTATGTTCATAACATAAAGAAGCAAGTTCAAAACAGAATTCATCAAAAATAATTGAAGCAAATACTAAATTTCTTGTTTTAACTGAAATATTTGTTGCGGTATCTGAAGTAAATGGATTATTGTCAACTTTAAAATGATTATGATCAACTGAATGTCTATTATCATCATCATCACCTTTCATAATAGCAGGATCACTTTCACTTTCTTCATCAGATGTTGAATTGAATGATTTAAATTTATTATTTGTATAATTATTATGACCGGATGTAGAAGAAATAGACGATAGATTAGTTGGTTGAAATGATGCACGTTTTAATACTGGACTTAGACCGATACGACTTGTTAAGCTTAAAAATTGATTTATACGACTACGACTTCTATGCCGGATATTGGAATTGATGTGTCCACCACTGATAGAACTACGATGTAAACGTTCTGAATTAGTTTTGCTATCATTATACATTATTGGTAAAGGATATACAACAGGTAATAGTGGAACTACAGGTTGAAATGAATCTTTGTTTACAGTATTATTCAAAGGTGGATGAGGATTTGAATGTGTAGAAAGAGAATTTCGTGATAAGTGATTAGAAACATTTCTCCTGTCCATAGATACACCTACATACAAATAAGAATATCAGACATTGATATGAATTGGTCAAATTTCAAAGCAATTATAAATCACATTCAAGTATGGATATTCTACCAAAATATTTAACTATAAAGTGAATAAAAAGAACACATTCAGTGATACGTTAAACAAGAGAAGTGAGTGACTTAGTGAACACATTTCCTATCGAGGATTTTGTCATTTTTGGATTTCTAAAGATTATAATACCGTCAGTGTAGAGAAACCCATATTGCATCTATGAAAAAATTGTGCTCCAATTCGTCTTAGACCACAGTGGGTATCTTCAAGATCACCTGTCAATGGTATCTTGTTAATTCAATACATTTGGTAATGCAACGAGTAGTAACAACCATGTGCACGGAGCTGAGAAGTTCTAAACAAGATGAAACATTAACCCTGTATCTAACTACCTGCTATAATCTAACTTTACTAAAACTTCATAACTGCTACTCGATAAAAAATATATTCAATATCCTTCATGCATGATCAGGTTCGCACCCACTTCGAACACATAAGTTTGGCTAGCATAATAAGATTTTAAAAGTGATCATCAGAGATTATCATAAAATTATTCACTACTGGAATGCACCATGTTATAAAGTGTAAAAACCGTATGTTCCAGAAACACGACAATTGTGAACTGTGTTTTTTGAAAACGGTAGGTGATATGATGTGAACTAAGTCACATTGGCACAAATATGTTCATTTTTATTCTAAACAATGAGAGTATTAATGGTAGCAGCTGACGATGTCCAGTATAATAGATAAGTGACAGAATTAGTCGGACATTCTACGCGGTCAAATTTGTGTTGACATTTCCTAGTCGACCAGTGTGATGCCCAATCAAACAACGAATAAGGTACCTAAATTGACCTCAATGTGTATTTGTAAATTCAGCTGCTTCTGTGTAGGTATATATATATATATATATATATATATATATTCTACCAGGTAACTTAACCAACGAATGAGTGAACATCTCCTAACATAGTCTGGAAAGGGCCAGATAAAAACAATACGCAGTTCTATCTTGGCGCATTTGACTGATTGTAGTTATGTTTTAAAAAAAGAAAACCGAATCATTCCGAATAATCTATCATACAGCAGAAGCCATGGGCGGAAATTCGTAGCACTCCCTATTCCCAGATTGGCCAAAATTTGTTTTATTAGCATTTCTTTTACATCCTACTTCTTTTTTTTCATCATTCAGTGACAGACACTGTTCCCTATCGAATTATTTGCATACTACTTCTCATTAAGTGAATTCTCTAATAAATTTTCCATGATTATTATTTCAAGTCTGTTTATAGAAGTTTGACATACTTCTTCCAATGTTGAACTACTGACACGAACTTTTCTTAATGTATTTTATCATCCACACCACTAACAGTACACCTGTGTTCCTACAATCAAGTTGTACT